GAAGATACTACTAAAAATAGGAAAACAGGGACTTGTGCTATTAGGCCATTAGTCTGGCTGGTCTGAGAGGGGCAATCTAGTGGAGGGACTGGCTGCTGTATTCATCAGCATTGTCTGCAGCCTGAAGATTCCTTTTGGCTGATGAAGAATCGGGACAGTTTTCTATGTCTGGTTATGTGAAGGCTGTTTGTGGAAGTTATGACACTTAAATTTGTGCAGGAGATTTCTGAGGCTGTTTCTGAGAGATGATTTACCATAATAGCAGGTGAAACTGCAGACTCCTCCAGAAGAGAACATTTGATGTCTAACACAGACAGCTCCTGATGTAAATGTTTATGAAGAGTTTGTTAAGTATGTGACATTGTATGGTAATGCAGAAATTATCCTGCTAGTGAATGATATGTTGTGATTATAAAAATCAGTGGACGAGGAATGGATGAGAATGGTGCCAAAACAGGACACTGCTGTGACAAATGTAGTGCCAAGCAAGTGCAGCAAGAAGAAAATCTATTAACTACATATATTCACTTAGTGGCGTATCTTGAATTCGTCGTTTTAAGATGCTGTTAAAATTAATGCTGTCGTGAGAGATGCTTTTAGAATTATGTATAAAATTGCCTAATTAGTAAAAAAAATTAAAAAAGGCATTCCAATTAGATGCTAGATCTTGGGAGAGAAGCAGTGAGCAACTCAGTAAGCCATGAAGCACTCACTAAATGGACTCTCCTTGGAGATGAGTGCTTTGCCTCTGATTTCCAAGAACTGCCTTGCAGCAGGAACTGAAGATCATATCTGCAAATCTTTCCATTTCAAAAGGTATTCTTTTATTTATTTAAGAGGCATTTTATTGAATGGATCCAGACTGCAAATCAGTGCGTTTAATTAAGTGAAATAAATTACCCTCTTACTGAAACTCTCTTTCATTTATGGATGCAGGCCGCGAAATCGCTGGTCACTAGTTTTCATGTCCATAATTTAATCTCACAGTGAAACAGAGGGAATCCCTGATATTTACCTCTGGCAAAACAAATGCAAACATTTCTCAGATATTATCTCTTCCCATCCAGCCCACTGTAGGACCCAGAACAGGTTTAATGACCTGCCTGTGTGCTGTGGAATCTGTAAAATCAGAACAGCTAAACCTCTGGTCCTGCTGGGCAAATGGCTGATAGGAGAGACCAACACATTGTAAAAGGCAGAATGGTGTCAGAAATAAAGGAAAAACACAGGAAGGTGCAGGAGCATTCTGCATACATACAGAAGTGCTGGAAATGCCAGAAGACACAGGCAGGGGGATGCACTGGAGCAAATGGGGACCTCTGGAGGTCCAAGCTGTGATAACCAGATCTCTTTCAGGTGGGGTTGTTCTCTGAGATGCACCAGTTGAGTTCTGAGTGTGGTTAAAGGCAGGGAGGGAATGAGCTGAGCGTTTTTGCAACCCAGACAGAGCCTCAGGTGTCCCTTAACATGGATTTATCCTCTCCACCATCTGTGGCTGTGAGTGTTCATACTTTCTGGCAGTAAGCACCTAGAGGTATAATCTTCCCTGCCGTGGCAGTACCCAAGTCAGTAAGTGAAATCACAGCCTTGTATTGATTTTATGTTCTGTTGATAATGAATTTGGGAATCCTCTGGGATTAGGTATATGTGCTGACACAGAGCTATGGGGAGGGTTCCTGTATTCCTGTTGCACAACAGCTAGCCATTATTGACACACACATTTTTGTAACAGTGATGTATTAAAATTCAATATGTGTGTTTCATTTGAAATAAGAGGTGGGGGAGGTGTAGAGGGGCCTGCTAATCCTAATAAAAGGAAACCCATTCAAATGAGTAATTTTATAAACTACCGAGTACTTGTGCTGAATAAGAAGTTACTGCCAGAGCTACTTCTATTAGCTCTGGCAATAACAGGCTGATTTTGATTATTAAAGCCACCATGAGGGAATACCTAGCAGCAGATGCTGCCAGTGAACCACACAGACTTTGGGCAGGAGATCCTTTCAATATGCAAGTGTAGGGAAACATTTCCTTTAATAAACCTGAAGAAAATGAGATTCCCACTGCATTCAAAACAAAACTATTCTGCAAAAAAAATTACAATGGTACTATCAGGCTGTACATAAATGATCTTTTTGCTCTGCTAGGAGGTACATATTGTGTGGTATGAACACACCATTGCACCATCTATGCTGTGCAATGCTTGAAACACATGCAGCAGAGGCAGAGATACAGGGGGACATGCACCAGGAAACCTGGAGAAGCTCCCAGTGTCAGACGCTGCCTTGGGCAGACACTGTTACAGCCACTTCCCTCTGAGTACTGAGAGACACAGAGCAGGAGCCCCATGTAAGCAGCCTGAAATAAATATTAGAAACCATTTGAGAACCAACTTTAATAGTTAAAATTTGATGTTTGTGCTTTGGCAATTTATACATTAGCATTTCCTGATTCTTGCTTATGGAAGGCAGTGCTTGTAACTTTTACAAAGCTCCCACAATCCTCAGAATTTGCTTAGATAGTGATTTTGAAGGCATGTGCTGCTAATCAATGTGTTAATGATTTCTTCCATGCTGTAATCCATCATTTTATCACAGCACACAATTTAGCAATTTGCTTATGCTAATTACTACAACAGCTAGAGCAGTTCTGAGCACAGCTCTAGGCTATGGCAACAGAAATGTTTGCTGTGTTATTTACATTTCCTCCCTTTACTGGGGGAAGGCCCAGAATCCACAGTACACCTGGAAATATTTACTTAGATACCAAAGATGCACATCCTGCAATGGGCAGGTTTCCCTCGGTGATCACTGCAAAGGAGACATAAGGAGACTCATCTGAGCCCACTGCACTCAGAGATGCAGATGCGAACAGGCTACAGACAAGAATCAGAGGTAAAAGGGGCTTCTTGCACTGCTGCTTGTAGCAGGGTAAATGTGTTCAGGGATGAGAGCAAAGCAGGGATCAGAGCAAAGCAGACGCAGCAGTTTGGCAGATAGAGCACTAGGCAGACATTGTACTTAGGCTTTATCTTCCATCTTTTGTTGTATTGCCTGTTTAGGCTGCTTTGACCTTTCTCAGGGCAAGAAGCATTGCCAGTGAATCCTGCTGGCGTGTGTTCCTAACTGAAGGTATTTTGCCAGTGCAGTCAGCAGTGTGTGGGCATGTGTCCCTGCTCTAGGCTGCCCACTGGGGTAAGCAGAGCTCCTCTCCTTCCTGCCTGTGCTGTAGAAATTTAAGCACGGCTTAAGCACAAGAAGGGGATTTGCTGTATCTAACCAGTAGCCTCCCAGTACAGCAGCTGATGGCAGTGCTAAGTGTGGAGGAGCCTTCAGGGTGTCCTGATGTGGGATTTAGTCAGTGGTCCAGTGTGACCACTCTGCCCAGTGTGACATAGAGTGTGGCAGCTCTGAGGGAGCTTCCAGGCATTATATGGGCACAGAGACACCCTTCTCCATCCCGTCCTGGGGGAACCTAGCAAATGTCCTCATCAAGTGGGGAAGTGTCAGATGCTCTCCTGGTCAGAGCTCTGCACCTTGGTGAGTGCAATAGCCAGTGCCTCAAGAGAGTGAGCACTTGGGTGTTTTAGAGAGCAGTTGTGGCTGGAGGGCATTTGAACCTACTGCCATGCCCCTCGACTTGCTGGGAACTTGAAGGCAATGTTGAAATTGCAGCCTGTCATGGAACAATAGTTTTCAACCTCCATCATAATTGCCCTCTTAAAAGTAGCACAGAAGACTTTCCTGACAAGCCATTACTGCTGAAAGGACAAAGGGAAAGTAGTTAGTCGGCTGTGTTCAGAACTGGGTTATCAAATTAGCTTCAGCCACTTTCAATTACAGAATCTCATGGTTTTGAAATGAGCTGTAAATGAGGGGCTATAATTCTTTGTCAGCAGTGAGCAAAAAGAACATAATCATCATTATTTAACAGGGGCCTACAGTCTAGCTAGCTCCCAGATAAGTTTGTCCAAGAAAAGAAAGTATTCAGTTGGCATAAGCAAGGCAAAAGATTATCAGCTGGCCAGGCTTCAGTACATTTCTCCAACCTGCAGCTATGGAAGTGACTCTGGGACTCATCCAAGAGGGACTTACTCCCAGAGGCACTCTGAACTACTAGGTAATGAAACATAAATACCACAAAAATAAGAGCAGTATGGGTTGTCCCAAGCATGCATCATTCCACCTTGAGCTGGTGCTTTCTTCTGCTGTGACTTCCACTCTGCTTGAAGACTGTTGTTACTGTAACGGTGGTGTTAAATTCTACCTGTCTGGTAGTTGTTGGGTATTAGTGCCATAACAAGGAGAGGGAATATCTGTGCTCATGCCAATAGAAAGAAGGTTCATTTGTAGGATCAGGCAACCTGCTGGAACCAGGGCCTGTCCTGCTGCACCTCATTTTCCCAGTGCAGTCAGCCAGCCCCTTGGTCTGGGTGCAGTAGACAAGCTTGCCCAGGGACCACTGGATCACCAGCAGTGGGTGCAAATCCAGAAATGCAAGGGCACTTAGGGTTTCTGAGGAGCTGGTGCCATGCTGTCCCCATTCTCCAGGATGCTTCAGGAACCCATAGCCAGGTTCAAGGGAATAGCTATTCCTGTGCAGCCTCATAGGCTCCCTCCCCGGTCAGTCTATGGTTAGGTTGCTTGGGGTGGTCAAAATCTGAGAGTCAGAGCAGTGCCTGAGACCTCCGAGGACATCTTCCACAGTCCTTTAACAATATGCACAGACAGCGTCAGTGAAATTGTCCAGGCTTCTTGGTCTCTGAGGGAGCTGGTGATGACGTCCAGATTGCTTTTCAGTGCATGGTCCAGAGCAGCTACAGTGAAATAAACTGCAAGGACACCATTGTCATGCAGGCATTGGTGGCCCACCAAGGGAGCTCAACAGATATCTTGGCAGGCTTCATTGCACACTTCATGACATTTATGTTCTCTCTAACTCAGGCTCTGAAACCAGTTTTAATACATTAGAGGTTGAATTATGGTCTCCCTTTTTTTCAGTGCCTCCATCTGGAAATGTGAGACCATGCTTCCTCTCTGTATCTCAGGATGGCAGCTGTAAGGGTAAGTGTGAGAAGATGAGAAAATTCAAGGATGGAGTCGTGGTAACCAGTATAGGCTTGTGTATATGGCACAATACATGGTGCCATGGATGGATGTATATACCACATGAACTCAGCTGCACTAATCCTCCCACTGCATGCTCTTAACACAAAGTGAGCTTGGGGTCATTTGTCACATCTTGAAGGTAAATCCTGATCTGGCCCATCTCACATGAAGCTTTGTAATTACTCCACCTAAGTCTAGATTGACACATCTACTTAAGGAGCTTACACCACCCATGAAGTAGTGGAGGAAGAGGTGTCACCAGATGTATGACAAGGTGGGGGTAGGAAAGCAAGTTTGAGCATTGTCTGATACATTTTCAGGAAAATTTTACAGACCAGATGAACAATCCGGAGACCATTTTCCTCCTTCTGTTCACTGGATTTCAGAGATCAGATTTACTGCCTTATGGCTGTTGATAAGTTTGGCCCAAACATCTGGGGCGAAATTCTGTCTCTGCTGAAGTCAAGAGAGTTTTGTCATTTATTTCAACAGGTCATTGACTCTTTAATTTGTGTTCTGCCTTTCTGAATCAACACTGCCCTCAGGCTTGGGAATATATTTAGATTTACACACAGTCATGAATACACACACAAATGAAAGCGACAGAGAAAGAAACCATTTCAAGTCCCACAGCTTTTATTAATTTGTGCAGTCCTTGCTCTGTACATTAATTTTTTTTTTCAACAAGATGTCTATTCTATACAAGTTACAAAATGGATATCCGGGGAAAACTCATGCCATTTCACACTAGATTTGTTGTTACTGTCAGGAACTGAGACATAGACTTTCTTGTTTTCCTTGACATTTTTGTGGAGTTTATTTTGTTCTTCACCATAAATGGAGTTTCACTGACAATGCCTAATAGCTGCTGAAATTGCTTTGAAGTTTTCCTTGGGAAACATCATAATATTGTATCTGAAAATTAAATGATTGAAATGATGTGGAGGTCAGTCGGTTGTGCAGTATAAGATTGTAGCAAAAAAGGTGCAAAATGTTTCCTTCATGGATGCATTGCTTGACTAAGGGTTATAGCATTTACCCTCAACTTGCTGGTCAGAATGGCCAAGAACTCTCATTTTGAAAAACTGAAGTAGATAGAAAATTAACATTCTGATTAGCCCTGGAACGGAAGGATCTCTTTTCTCATCAGAGAGACAGACATTGAGAAGACCAGCAACGTAATTTGGGCACAATGGGGTGGGACCATCAGAGCAGGAGTTTTATTCAGGTGCTGAATGAAAAAGCAGGGCTTGGGTTCAGTCCTGGGTTTGTTGCCAAGGTCATGTGCTGCTTCCATGCTGTGGTTTCACTCGCAGGAAATGGGAGCTTGATCTTTTGCCTTTGTTGTGTTTTCTTCTTCTGTGTTGACACTTAGGTTTTAGACACTTTACAGGAAACAGAGGGAGTCTTGAGGCCTTGATTTTGTCAGGTCCACATAGTCCTGCTACAAATCTATGTGTTATTAACTGCAGACAGTTCTGTATACATTGTCAAGTCCCAAAGTGCTAGTTGGCTCTTGTAGAACCTGTTGTCAACTCTGTTAGTGCTAGGAAAGTAGTTCCAAATTTGAGCTGTAAACATACTGGAGACCATTAGCAAGTCAAAGCCTTCTCTCAGGGATCTGTAAAATTCACTGCAGTTCCTCTTTGGCTTTCAGGAAAGAGAAATCCCACCACCTTCCCTTGCCTCCATGACCATAGTACATGCATACGCTCATGCATGGAGTGCAGTACATGTGCACTCACAGCCAGTAAGAGGAATTAGCACTTCAGTGTGCAAAACAAAGGGCCAGCTGGTGTGGCTGTGTTGTGTTTATACACCTTATTCACGCAAAGCTCTGTTAAATGGTCTAATGAAACAAGGTGCTTTGAGGGAAAAGCCCATTTAACAGAATAACAAATCCCATTAAGCTCAGTGGAGCTGGAAATGTACTGCATAATAAATTAATTCTGAATTTGTGGCTTTGAACATAATTTTCCAGGTCTAGACTGATACATTTTTAAGCTTGTATGCAACTTGGCTAATAAGCTCAGCATTGGTTTTCCTTTAGATACATTTTGCTGATAGTTTTTCTCTGTTTCTATAAAAGCAGCAGTTTTGTTGCTCTGTCCTCCTGCTACAGAAGGAAGAGCTGTCGTTACGCAAACTGCAGGAGCACTTTGCAACTCACTGTTCAAGAGTGAGACCACAAGATGCAAGGTATCACCCAGACCTGTAAGCAATGGACTGTCCCTGTCCCAAAGGCCTGCCAATCTAAGGCAGTCCATGTATCCATAGATCAGGAAGAGAAGAAATGCTCTCTTAAAGTGACACCATCAGCTTACAATATGGTTGAATATGACTTGGTACAGGGCCTACAGTAATAAGCCAGGAGACAGGTTTTACTATCTACATATAATTCAGCATGAATGTGGCTATGCAACTTCCAGGCCAGATCTGGAGTGCCCACTGCACTGTGGGAACCTACTTGGGGCCTGTCCAACATCTCAGCTTTGGGCTCTGTCACACAGTGTAAGCATATGTTGTCTCCAGTGCAGCATGCATCGAGTCTTGTCTTGAAATGATCTTGCTGGCATGCTACTCAAGAGATACAGGAGCATCAACACAGTAAAATCGTGGTAGAATTAATTTGAGCAACTTCCCTTTCAGTTACCACTTAATTTGAGCAACTTCCCTTTCAGTTACCACTTCTGACTGATCGCAGCAGCTACATGGATTAAACAGTGAAATCACCAAATCAGGCTACTTGAATAAAAGCTGAATTTCCATCCTGTGAAGCCAGAATGCATCCTGCAAAGCTCTTCACTGACAAGGCAGCTCAGTCAGGTTATATAATTGGCACCCTCATAAGCTTTTAATCTTTGGCAGAGTGGTACTCAAAGGGAGTGAAGTTCTCTCCTACCCTTGAAAATATCAATGAAACTCAGAGAATGCTTACTGCTGAATGTCCCACGATCACAAGAAGCCAAGAGCACACTGCCTTAGTACCAACGAGAAAAGAGCTTTTGGAAAGTCAATCTCCTTCCTCCTAAAAATAAATAAATAATAAAACAGTGATTTTCGGGAGTGTTCCCAGCAAATGAACTTGGGTCCTTTGGGTCACTGATTCCTACTTTATGTGATGTGAGAGCCCCAGATCCAATCCAGAGGCTACTTTTTCACAGCTTCTATTCAGGAACAGTGGAAATGTGTTCTCTGCCTTCCTGTGGCAGGATGGAAGCTTTGCCTAGCCTATGTGGACATACCATTGTGGTGCAGTGAGCCCCTCAACACAGCATTTACAACCTCCCGAGGGACCAGGTGAGCTTGGGACCATGGAAGCCCATTCTGGGGCTTGAGTTTGAGCAAGCAACGACTCTGTCCTTGTAGGCTGACAGTGCACATGCTTTTCAAGGGCAACAAGGATGCAGATAGCTGAAGTCTTAACTTACTGGGGTGAATCAGTTCTGATGTCACTTCATGCATGTCAGTGAAATTACACTTGGTCCAGGATCTGTACATTCTGAGTATGTCACTGAATTTATTGCTGTCTCCTATAGAGCAACTGAGACGTTTCTGTGAGGAGAACTGTCAAGGGCAGAACACCAGCATCCCCCCGGGACATTAGCAAGGTTAGCTGGATGGTTTCATTAAATCTCGGTTAATATTCGGGGTCAGCAAACCCTCTGCAGAGTGCCATTCCGTAAGCAGCAGGTAAGTAGGCAGAGGAGACCTCTCCGAGGGGAGCTGTAGCTGCTGGAATCTTCTCATCCGTGTTGAGAAAATGACGGGTGCATTGGGGCCTGCAGTTTAGATCAACATATACCTGTTTATGCTCACTTTTTGGTCTGGTTTGGGGATGAGGGCTGTTTGTTCACTAACAGGTAAGGATCAGAGGCTTCACTAGTGGTGCTTGAGGACCCGTTCAAAGTCAGGAACACAGGAAGGTAGCCAGTACTCCGGAGTTAGGAGGAAATTGCTATGCGTCAGTATATTTTGCTACGTGTCAGGCTGTTTTTCTTTATTTAGTCTTTAGGACAGCCCAACTGGGCTCTTTGCTTGCTTTTAATGCCCTTCAGCTTGTTACTTTTCCTGGGTTTCTTAGAACCGGAAAGGTGCCAACAGGCCAAGGGAAATGTCTTCAGAGGCCAACAGGGCCTATTAAGGACTGGAAGGGGGATGTGAACAAAACGCAGAGCGGAGAGAGGACCTGCAATTGGTGGTAATCACTGAAAGTGACCCTTCCCTGCCGCCTGCCTCAGCTGGGCCCCGAGCAGCCAAAGGCCATGGCCCTAGCCAACATCACCTCAGCTGCTGCACCCGACCCCGCTGGCAAAGAGGGTGGAGGGCGGGCTGATGGGGCCCCTCCAGGTGCGGTGCATGCTGGGGAGAGCCTGGCCAGAAAGGCATGGGCTGAGGAGTGCAATTTGTGGTGGCCATGGTGGGCTTCTGCTGAGGCCTCGTGTGGAGGGGACAGCCTGCTGAGGGCTTGGCGGGGTGGAGGTAAGGCAGCCGTGCTCATACCTGTGAGCATCAGCAGTGCTGCCGTGTACTTTACAAAAGGCATGTGCTGTGAGCATGAGCTGCCCTCAGGTTGCATTCTGTGCAGGTTGTTTTCCTGTGGCTGTTTATCTCACATGAGAGGAAAAGCTGAGTGCTGTTTGTGCAGTGCCATTAACAATCTCCTCCCGCACGTGCTCCCCAGAGGGTTCCTGCCACCATGATGCCCACGGGGTGTTTGGGGGGGGGGCAGCCCTGCCATCGTGGCTATCCCCTACCACATAGCTTTGCATGGCGGCTGCGGTGGCAGCCGCGGTGCTGGTGAGGTGAGCTGGATTGTGCCCGCTGGCCTGTGTCTGCTTCCATTGCCCATACAGAAGGAAGGAATCTGAAGCTTTTCATATTCTAACGTGATTTTTCAGCATGTTAATGTTTGGGGTTGATGTTGTTCAACTCCGTATTTATTTTGTGGACTTCCCTGGACTAAACCAAGAAGCTAGAGTTAGAGCATCTGAGGGGAAGGGGGAAGTGACTGGTGGAAAGTTTTTACAGGCCGTTATGGTAGGAAAAAAGAATTATTAAATACTGTGGTGGGAAAGATAAATCTGCAAACACTGTTTTTGCTGTCATGCATTTCAGCATGGTCAAATAACCTGTTGAAGGCAAGAGGAGAAATATACAGCTGATACGTTAGAGAAAGCATGTCCCTGGGCCTGGGCCATAGCTCACACTGTGCATTCCAGTACCTGATTAGGTGAGTTGCTCTCAGATGGAAATCAGAGGGGAGTGGGACTTTAGAAACCTGCTTTGTGAAGTTAAAATGGTTGTTGAATAAGTAGAGCTTATCTTCTGCTAGTGCTGTAGGTTCAGGATGATTCCCAGATATCAGAGCTGAGCATGAGCAACTTCTGCACTGGAGTCACATAAACAGCTAAGATGAACTTGGATTAACCTTCTGTATTGTCATCTTTAGCATTAGCTGGTTCATTGTTCCTGCTAGCCTCAAAGTCACAGAAGAGCACTGATGCTTGTGGAATTTAATATTCCTAAAATTGGCAATACTCGTTGCCCATAAAGTTCACTACACCCTGTTGTCTAGTGTCTGCACTTCTGACACTTGACAATTTTGACACTACCATTTTGAATAGTATTATTAATCTCCAAAACAATTAAGGTGCATTTTATTGCTGATTGAAGAGATAGAAAATGCATGGAGACTGTTAATTCTTGTGCATGAGATTCACAGACTTGTTTGACCACGGGTATTAAAATTGGAATTGAACTCATCTGTATTTTTGAAAGTATAAAGCAAAAATTAACTCTCATTGCTTGTACCAAAAACTTTACAATGAGAGACTCTGCAGCTCTTCGTAAGTTTTGTAGGAGCATCAGTTGTTTATTTTGGATTTTTTTAAAGTACGCTGTAAGAGCTGTTGGCTCTCTGTCTCTTTATAAATAGCACACAGCATTTTTTCTGTTAAAGCGAAGTTCAAATAGAGAGGAGCATCTTGCTTTCTTTTGTGTGCATTTCTGTGCAGTAGCTTCTCAAAGGACAGTTCCTAAAATAAAACTGTTTACAATAACCTCCTCAGATAAAAACATTTCAGCACAAAATTTTCATGTCTTGCACTTCAGCTCTGATGTGCCTTGCTCTCGTATTTTGCCCAGAGGCTTGGTTATTGTTCCATTAATGATACAAATGGAGGAGCTTCTCTTGCAATTCAGGCTTTTCAAGTAAACTCTCTGAATCATCAAGGTCTAGGCACTGTACTTTTTAAATCTCTAGCTATAACTTTCTTGCTTTTCCACTTATTGTAAAATCTGTTTTCTGTTCACCCTTTTATAACTTGAATGTAATGATATTTTTCCTCTTTTCGTCATTGTTCTCCTTGCTTTCCATCTTTTTTGCTTTGCCATACCCTTATGATGGTGTTTATTGCTTGAATTCTCTTCAGTCAACTTGAACCCTGCAGACAGCACAAGTGTGTCTGAAGAAACAGGTAACAGGATAGCATTTCCCAATACCCAAGAGTACAGCACTACTTACAATACTGATTAGAGTTACTGCTGGCTACTACAAACTACTGTGTGCATTGAAAAACTCCAGTTCATTGCCTATCAACTTGGCAATTCAAGTAAGCAATTGTTAAAGTGGTTCATCTGCTTGTTCAGTGTTTCGGTACTACAGGTTCATGGTTCCGCAAGTGTCAAAATGGAGAAAGTTTGTTGCCTTGCAGTGGAGGCAAGTGAAGAAAGTGCTTCGTCTGACAGAAATTTTGTAACAATAGCAAAAATGAAATAACATTGTATCTTTGCAGTAATCTTAGGCTCTCTCTTTGGCATTTCTGTACAATTTTACTGTAGCATACAGGTACAAATTACAGCTCTGATGAACAGTCATTGAGGGCATCCGGAACTCAGTGCTGTTACTGTATCTCCTTGTTTTTACTTAGAATATTAAGAGTCAGATTAACTACATTGGAATATGTCTGAGTCTACTGAAGTGAAAGCGTCATTTTCTTAATAGGGTTTTGTTCTGTGCCTGCATTGCTAATGGCCTGTGCACCCTGCTTCATAGCAATGGCCTAATTAAAGGTTTGACATTGAAAAAGTAATTAAAATTTGCATGAAAAAGTATTGAAGGGATTATTTTTTTTTTCTGGTGAGTCGATAAGAACTAAGTTGTTTTGGTAAATGTTAGAGCTCTGATCGCAGGGACTTGCTGGACAAAAGCATCTATCAAGGTATGGCATTTGATGCTTACTAATTTTGTTGAGACTTAAGCATGTGTTTAAAGTTAAGCAGATATTACAAATGTTAAATCCTGAATAGGGAGTGAAGCCTGTATGCCAGTACTTGGCAGCATTATACTTACAACTCTTCATGGATATTTACTTTTGAATATATTTTTGGCAGTTTTAAAGCATGGCCATTTACAAAATTTAGTAGGTGAATAACTAATATAGGGTTTAGGTTCTGGATAACCTTACTTGTGCTGAACAGGACACGCTTCAAACAATAGCCCTGCTGAAGTAACAGACTATCAAAAACATATCAGTAACACTACTGGAATCTGTCCCATTGATGGTTGCTGGATACGAATATCAATTTTACTCTTGCCAAACCTGAATTCAGCAATATATATTTTTAAAAGGCACCTGGTTTTGTAACAAGCAGGTACCAACAGGCTTTTGTATAGACACAGTAGCATAAATCTTCCTCCCAGTGCAACTGTATTGGCTTAAGTGAAGTTATCATTGTTCAAATTGGTACTTGATCTATGGAATAGAAGCTGTAGAACTACTGGAGGGGACTTTCTTCTTGCTGTTGTATTGTCAGAGAGCTGCTTCATCTATCCCCACTGCCATGATATACAGTGTTTTCAAAAGGATTCCATCCTGCAGGCAACTTCTGCACTCATCTCTAGTGCTTAAAATGTGACATGCAAATCAACTAAGGGCAATTACAAGCATTGCCAGGAGCTGCAAGCACATGACTGAATGCTCGTAGGCAGGAACATACTGTGCATTGGATGTCTATGGATCTCAATAAT